AGATGGTTAACCCCCAGAGTTACCCTTTTTAACTACTTGCTATCCGGAAGACTTACCTCCTTTCTTTTTTGCTATGCAGTGCTGCGCATCTTTAAGTGACAATTGCGCAGTCATGCAACACTGTACCCAAATAAAATTGATATCCTTTTTTTCACACAAATAGAGCTTACTTTTGATAGTATTTGATCACCTCTGGGTTTTTCATTCTATAAAAAAGAAAAAAGACAGGCAATTTTGAAAAAAAAAATATTTTTTAATTTCTGCTATAAATTATATCTCAGGATTTTTTTTTTAAATCAAATCTCTTAATAAACGTTGGCCAAAATGTGTTCTGCATGTCTTTGGTAAAAAAAAAAAAATCCCAATAAGTGTATATTGATAGGTTTGCATGAAAGCGTCTACAAACTATGGGATATATACTGGAATGTTTTATTTATGTATTTTTTTTTATACTAGTAATGGCAGTGATCAGCAACTTATAACGGGACTGTGACACTGCAGTGGTCAATCTGACACTAACTGATGCTAGGTGAAACAAACTACCACTGAAATCACCAGTGCCATTATTACAGTGATCAGTGCTAATAATATGCACTGTCACTGTACTAATAACACTAGGCAAGAAGGGGTAACATCTAGGGCGATCAAGGCGTTATATGTGTGCCTAACGTGTTTGTGTGTGTACTATGTGCTGCTTTTACTGTGGACCTAGTTGTTTTTATTCCCTGCTTAGCAGGGAATTAAAAATCAACTAGATTGCCTGTCACTGAACACAGCACTTTGCTGTTTTCACTGACAGAGCTGTGTTCTATGAGTCTCAGCGTTGATCACCAGGTACCAGTGGCCAATCACCCTCCAGCACCCAGTGATTGGGATGTGCTGTGATGAAGCACAGCTGGGACGTGTGCCCCCTACCTGGAAATGCAGAATCACATTTATATACATGATTCTGCGCAGAACTGCCACCCTGCAGCCGTAAAAATACAATGGGCTGGTCTTGAACTGAACTCGTGGCCCAATTAATACTCTGGACTAAAGCCAATAATTTAAGTTAGACAGTATTCAGGATGGCTGAGCAGTTGGAGCAGAGGATTGTCAAACTTACATTCCACCATTTTTGTGACTCCAGAGATGCATCATTCTAAGCAATTTCAGGTTTGCCGCTGTCACTTTCTGGCTGCCAGTAACCAGGAATGTGAGCAAACTGAATACTTGATTGAGGTATAATCAAATATTGATTGAATACAATCAATATTTGATTTGTTTGAAAACATTGCAGAGGAGACATCAAGAGTATAATTGACCCCTGATGTTCTTGATGCATTATGCTATCATATTTTGTTATAGTAAAAAAGTGAAGTAAAAAAAAAAAATTTAATTAAAAAATAAAGTTGAATAAAATACATAAAACCCAAAAAAATTTAAGGGGCCCACTCCCAAGCTCATACACGTACAAAAACGTGTGTACTTCCAGGATGCACATGTGAGCATAAACAACAATTGCGTAACACATAACACATATTGGGTATTGCTTGTACATGCTGCACATCCTAAAACTTTAGAAAATAATTTGAATTATGTCATGTGCTTTAAAGTTAGTATTAGTGCATTTTTACAGAAAATATAGGTTCGAAAAACTATTGCTCAAAGACATAAATGTGCAACTACCATATTTTATTATACAGGCACTCTGTTTTCAGGAAATATATGCTGTTTGAGGTTTAGGTAGTTTTCAGTCATAAAATGCTTTTTATGCATTTTTTTTCGGGGGAAGAGGGGGGGGACATGTATTGCTTAGGGGTTTAAGCAATATATGTTTGGGATCAACCCATCCCAGCCTGTGATGGTCATCTCTGTGCTCACCTCAAGTGCTACAGTAACGTTCATTTTCAATAAAGAAGAACCATTTGGCTTACATGCTGCCCTTCCTTCTCTCTTAGTCCTCGAGTCCTGCTGTGGGGGTAAAAAATAGGGGTAGTTTAAAGTAAGAGTTTTATAATGAATACATAGTTATGTGGAGGTATTTGCCTACATTTCTGTCTTTTATTTAGACATAAAAAATTTCCAAGTTTTAAATCTCTTTTGAACAATACCAGACCATCAATTCCATTAGATCATGTCAGTGGTTTTTTTGTATTCTGTTTGATGACTGTAAGATAAATATGTTATTAAAGCATATACCAGAAACCAGCAATTAATGCTAATTATCTGTCTCTAACACTTTTTTGAGGCTGCATAATGGGATTGGGTCCAATGTCGCAGTAAAATGCCAGCATTTCTATACGTGCCAGTGAACACATAAATGGAATGAATGTTGTAGTGAATGTGGAGATGTGGCAGAGGACAGAGACAAAACAAGTAGATACCAGAGGCGGACTGACAACTCATGGGGCCCCAGGGCAATAGAGGATCATGGTGCCCCTGTGTCCTTGCCCAAACTCAAAAAAGCCTATAAAAAGGTACCAGGGGCATCTCATGGGGCCCCCTACTGGCCCCGGGCCCTCGGGCAGTGCCCGAGTTTCCAAATGGTCAGTCCGCCCCTGGTAGATACATGTGTACACACAAAATATTGCTTGTGCCTTGTGAGTTTATAATGGAGATAGACTCTGTTGAAATTATAGCAAGGGAATATATATGTAAGTGACATTGATGACTCTGAAAAGAGGGTCCAAACTATTTTCAACACTGCAGTCCTTCCTGATAATTCCTTTAAATTGCTTGGTGTGTAATTTTGCAGTTATTTGTCCTCCATATACTGTATGTGCTGATAGGTATTTTCACAAATATATTATATTGTGTATATCTCTTTATATGTCTGTAAGTATCTAATCGTTGTCTCAGTCAGTGACTTAAAGGCATAAATGACTGATTTCCTTTATTGCAGTAGCACAGTACCAAGTCTTTGTTTGGATCATCAACCTACATCGTCACTTTGGTGTTTCATAGTATGCTAATATTCTAGTATAGTACAGTCCCTTTTCTTTTAATAAAAATATTGCAAAATCAAAGTTGCAGGTGTGAAGTGTCAACACATGAAGGAGCCTGCACATTCATCATCTCTAAAGGAGTTCACCCTTTCCCAAAAATATTCCAGTACTTTATGGTGTCCTTAATAAATGAAAAGGATGTGCTCTGTTTTGCAAATAAATGCTTACTTTTTGGCTGCTCATATAATTGCCCTCCCGGTCCTTAAGGTAGTAAGATGTACCCAGTGTTGAATGTTCAGCCCCAGAAATTTCCAGCTTTGTTCCTTGCCCACACATGCACAGGCCGCTCTTTTGTAGCTCATGATTCTGCATGAGTGAAAAAAGTGGATTGTGCATGTGTGGGTAGGGGAAGAAGCCAGGAGTGTTCATGTTTGACTTGCTAGGACCATGCATCCAATACTGGTTATGTACTGCTCTCTGCAGGATGGAAAGAGAAGCACAGAATTTAAAAAGTCTGCATTTACATAAGAATATCTAGCTATTCTAACAGGCAAAGCTTTGGGACTTCCTCATAGTGTCAAAGTTTGCCCATTCATTCCTGCCCCTTGTACATCCCTACTGGCACCCAGTGCATTTAATGTGTGTGGGCGCCGTGGCTGGATTGGATCATGTATGTGTGATCCATCTCTTCTGGGTATGGCCCCCCCCCCCGCCCCATCTGTGCTGTGATTGTGATTTGCCACAGCACAAGTTTGGCAGCAGGTCTCAGCCAATTATTTTTTGACCTGGACCTGCTGATTGACTGTAGCGAATCACAGCACAGCCTGTGTCATTGTTAGTAAGCACAAACAAACACCTAGTTAGGCACATTTAGCCCTTTGATCGCCCTCCAGTTAACCCTTTCAATGCTCTGTCACCAGTATCAGTACGGTGTACAGATCCTTTTTTTACTGATCACTGTCTTGGTGTCACTAGTGACTTCAGGGTGTCTACTTTCCAGTAAGGGGTCATTTGGAGAGTTTTTGTACTGCCCTGGCATTTTAGCAACTCAGGAATTGTGAGGGGCAGTCAGAAAGTAAGAGCTGCATAAATTCCAGTTTATATACCATAGTTTTTAGACGCTATAATTTTAACACAACCAATTAATATTAATTTATTCGAATTTTTGTTAACAAACACATGTAGCAGAATACATTTTGGCCTAAATTTATGAAGAAATTTGATTTTCAGGATTGTACTGTATTTGTTTTATAACAGAAAGTAGAAGTAGTTTTCATTTATATTGCATAAAATAGAAAACCATTGGCGATCAAATACCACCAAAAGAAAGCTGTTTGTGTGAAAAAAATGCTACAAATTTAATTTGCATACAGTGTTGCATGATTAAGCAATTGCCAGTTAAAATAGCACAGTGCTGAATAGCAAAAAATCCCCTGGTCATGAAGGGGGTAAAATCTTATGGAGCGCAAGTAGTTAAACAGGGTAACTGAGGGTTAACCATCTGTGTCAAAACAGTTTATATAAATTTAAAAATGTATCCAAGTGGTTAACAAAAATCGCACTGTTGCCTTCATATTGGTCATTGGATGATGGGAGTTAGCACAGCTTCTCCTCAATTAACCACTTTCCCTCCTGAAGATTTACCCCCCTTCCTGACCAAGCCATTTTTTGTGTTCCGGCACTGCATTATTTTAACTGACAATTGCGCGGTCATGCAATGCTGCACCCAAATTAAATTTACATCATTTTTTTCCCTACAAATTGAGCTTTCTTTTGGTGGTATTTGATCACCTGTGCGATTTTTTTTATTTTTTGCACTATTAAAAAAAAAAGACAATTTAGAGAAAAAACTATATTTTTGACTTTTTGCTATTAAACGTCCAGTAAAAAAATGTAAAAAAAATCAAATTTCATCATAAATGTAATTAAAAATGTATTCTGCTACATGTCTTTGCTAAAAAAAATCCCAATATGTGCTAACTAACTGGTTTACGTGAAAGTTATAGCGTTTTACAAATGACGTATATATACTGGGATTTTTATTTTTACTAGTAATAGTGGCAATCAGTGAGTTATAGCGGGAATGCAGTGGACATTCTGACACTGGGGGGGAACTGACCTGGTGTCACTGACATCCCCAGTGACACCAATACAGTGATCAGTGCTAAAAAAAAAGCACTGACACTGTACTAATGGCACTGAGCAGGAAGGGGTTAACATGAGGGGCGATCAAAGGATTAACTGTGTGCAGGGATTATATTTAACAATTTTCCATTGTGGTATTTGGTAGGGTGTTGGCGGCTGTATATAGAGATTGACATTCTGAGTGCAGGAGGACTATATACAGTCAGGTCCATAAATATTGGGACATCAACACAATTCTAACATTTTTGGCTCTATACACCACCACAATGGATTTGAAATGAAACGAACAAGATGTGCTTTAACTGCGACTGTCAGCTTTAATTTGAGGGTATTTACATCCAAATCAGGTGAACGGTGTAGGAATTACAACAGTTTGCATATGTGCCTCCCACTTATTAAGGGGCAAAAAGTAATGGGACAGAATAATAATCATAAATCAAACTTTCACTTTTTAATACTTGGTTGCAAATCCTTTGCAGTCAATTACAGCCTGAAGTCTGGAATGCATAGACATCACCAGATGCTGGGTTTCATCCCTGGTGATGCTCTGCCAGGCCTCTGCTGCAACTGTCTTCTGTTCCTGCTTGTTCTTGGGGCATTTTCTCTTCAGTTTTGTCTTCAGCAAGTGAAATGCATGCTCAATAGGATTCAGGTCAGGTGATTGACTTGGCCATTGCATAACATTACACTTCTTTCCCTTAAAAAACTCTTTGGTTGCTTTTGCAGTATGCTTTGGGTCATTGTCCATCTGCACTGTGAAGCGGCGTCCAATGAGTTGTCAAGCATTGACACGCCATGACACTACCACCACCATGCTTCACTGATGAGGTGGTATGCTTAGGATCATGAGCAGTTCCTTTCCTTCTCCATACTCTTCTCTTCCCATCACTCTGGTACAAGTTGATCTTGGTCTCATCTGTCCATAGGATGTTGTTCCAGAACTGTGAAGGCTTTTTTAGATGTCGTTTGGCAAACTCTAATCTGGCCTTCCTGTTTTTGAGGCTCACCAATGGTTTACATCTTGTGGTGAACCCTCTGTATTCACTCTGGTGAAGTCTTCTCTTGATTGTTGACTTTGACACACACACACCTACCTCCTGGAGAGTGTTCTTGATCTGGCCAACTGTTGTGAAGGGTGTTTTCTTCACCAGGGAAAGAATTCTTCGGTCATCCACCACAGTTGTTTTCCGTTGTCTTCCGGGTCTTTTGGTGTTGCTGAACTCACCGGTGCGTTCCTTCTGTTTAAGAATGTTCCAAACAGTTGTTTTGGCCACGCCTAATGTTTTTGCTATCTCTCTGATGGGTTTGTTTTGTTTTTTCAGCCTAATGATGGCTTGCTTCACTGATAGTGACAGCTCTTTGGATCTCATCTTGAGAGTTGACAGAAACAGATTCCAAATGCAAATAGCACACTTGAAATGAACTCTGGACCTTTTATCTGCTCATTGTAATTGGGATGAGGGAATAACACACACCTGGCCATGGAACAGCTGAGAAGCCAATTGTCCCATTACTTTTGGTCCCTTAACAAGTAGGAGGCACATATGCAAACTGTTGTAATTCCTACACCGTTCACCTGATTTGGATGTAAATACCCTCAAATTAAAGCTGACAGTCTGCAGTTAAAGCACATCTTGTTAGTTTCATTTCAAATCCATTGTGGTGGTGTATAGAGCCAAAAATATTAGAATTGTGTCAATGTCCCAATATTTATGGACCTGACTGTAGATATGTGTGCAGGGAGTGTTTTACTAGGGGGCCTTCTCAGTGTGCTTCCCTGTACTCGCACTGCTCTGGATGCCATTCACAGCAGTGTGCCCGAGCCGACAGGAGGACTGTTAGTAAACAAAACAGTCCTCCTTCCCGTCGGAGATCTTTGGAAATCACTGGGCGCCGGTGAGTAATTACCAGCTGGAACCCGTGTCTACGATTGGCTACCACCCGGAAATGCAAAATCACGTATGTATATGTGATTTTGCGCACCTGTGCCGCCCTGTATCAGCATTTCTGCTATAGGGTGGACAGGAAGCAGTTAATAAGCCCTGGAGAGACAGCATGTGCAGAGTGCACATTCTATTTACCTTTGGCAAATCAACCCCAGAAACTCTTTAGCAATGACCTTTCTATGTCAAATGCACACTTCTGTTGAGAGTTATTTTCTAAAATTTCCTTCAAAGGTGGTAAAACATCATTTAGGTGTTGAGTGAATTTTGTGAGTTAATTAGTTAAACCTAGAACTGTTATTTTCCAATATTTAGCACATAATTTAGTATTCAGGTACCAAATATATAGGAATAGAGATAAAGGCCAACCACTGATACAGCAAGATGGATCTTTGCCTGGCTCGGCTATGACTGATGTGTGCTATAAGAAATTCGGCATGAACCTGTGAACCAGGGCCAATAGAGGTTATGTAATTATAGAGTCATGCAATCAAGCCTGGAATGTTTTATATTGTACAGACAAAAAACTATCAGGCCCCAGGCTTTTGCCTGGGGCTGTAGTGTTACTCGCCTGGTATACCTCAGTTGCTATATCAAATTCCAGGACTCAAAACATTTAGTTGGAGATAACTGGGACTCTAGCAGCTTGAAGATAATTTATCATTTTTTGCAGTTTAAGATTTTTCTGTTTCACCCGAGATATATCTAACCTTTGAGTTTTGGTAGAATTATTAATCTATCTCCGTAGTGCAATGGACTATAGAGTTGAAATGCCTTTAATTTTAGAAATATACCTGACAGATAGTTTGAACCAAAGTGCCCTCACAAAAAGCTTTTCAGATTTGTTTGCAAATTCATAATATTTTTGCAATACCATGTAGAGGAATATAATAGCAATTTTACCTGATCTCATTTAGAGATCAAAATAGTTAAAGCAGAGCTCCGGCCCCTGCCTCCCCCCCCAATAAAAATGAAAAGTCAGCAGCTACAAATACTGTAGTTGCTGACTTTTAAAATTAGGACACTTACCTGTCCAGGGATCCAGAGGTGTCCTCACCCCTCGCTGATTCTTCATTTGGCTGTCGGGTGCTGGCACTGCCATTTTGACTAAGGGAAACCGGCAGCTTCACAGCTGGCTTCCTATTGGGTATGTGCGAACCACGCTGTGCTTTGTGAATGGGCCAAAGTTTTCTGGGACCTGTGAAGTGTCCCAGATGGCTGTGGGGAGGGGCAAACCTCCGTCTCAGTTCGCCCTGTCAAAACCAGGTACCTGCTTCCCCCCCAGAAGGTGCCAAATGTGACAGTGGAGGGGGGGGAAGGCAGATAAGCAGAGCTTCCACTTTTAGATGGAATTCTGCTTTAAAGCCCCTGAGGACCTGTAAAGGCTCTCTAACAGTTGGATCTCAGCAAGTAGCTTCTTGATCTGCTAGGATCAGCCAGATGTAGAATATTAGTCAGTCTGGACATTTTCCCTAAAATAAAGTCTAAAGCTAGCCATAGATAGATTGAATCTCAGCCAGTTTAATAGGGCCCGGCTGAGATTTGATTCATGTACAGGCAGGTTGGTTGTACTGAAGTTGATCCTCATGTTGGAAGGAAAATTGCATAATCTATGGGCTTCTATAGATGATCCTCCAACTTTTGAACAGCTACTGGATCATGAAGGAGAAATGTATTCAATTTCCATACAAATTGGCAATTCTAACAAAACAGGAATATGATTTGAAATCATGACTGAGAGGCCTTTTATCAGAATCATCAGAACTGAGAGGCCTTTTTGGACTCCAGCAGAAAATCATAAAAGAAAGTAAAATATTGTGACATGCCAGGCATCTATCAACTGGGCTATAGGTAAAGCACATTTTAAAGTGTTTAAATGAGAAATTGTATTACAAGCTAATCTAAAAGAAGAGTGCAATATTAGAGCCAAACATAAGTTAAATATCTTGCTAGAATTACTGTAAGTAGCTTTAATGAAATCCCAGTAAATTTTTAAATATATGTCTCAAAAAAGGAAAGGTTGGTGATTTGGACTGTAAATATTAGGAAGTGTTCATTCCATATCATGTATCCAACACTTTGTGGAATTTGGTCCAACCAGCCTGGCAATTCATTCAGAGATACACTATGTTGGCAAAAATATAGTAAACAGTGCCTGCCTTTACATGCACATGAACTTTAATGGCATCCCAGTATTAGTTTATAGGGTTCAATATTGAGTTGGCCCACCTTTTGCAGCTACAACAGCTTCAAATCTTCTGGGAAGGCTGTCCACAGGGTTTAGAAGTGTGTCTATGGCAATGTATGACCATTTTTCCAGAAGCGCATTTATGAGGTCAGGCACTGATGTCGGATGAGAAGGCCTGGCTCACAGTCTCCACTCTAATTCATCTCAAAGGTGTCCTATTGGTTAAAGTCAGGACACTGTGCAGGCCATTCAAGTTACTCCACCCCAAACTCGCTCATTCATGTCTTTTTGGACCCTGCTTTGTGTACTGGTGCACAGTCATGTTGGAATAGGAAGGGGTCACCCTTAAACTGTTCCCACAAATTTGTCCAAAATGTCTTCATATGCTGACACCTTAAGAGTCACCTTCACTGGAACTAAGGGGCCAAGCTCATCCCCTGAAAAACAGCTCCACACCATAAACCCCTCCACCAAACTTTACACTTGACACAATGCAGTCAGGTAAGTACCATTCTCTTGGCAACTGCTAAACCCAGACATGTGCACCAGATTGCCAGATAGAGAAGTGTGATTTGTCACTCCAGAGAACACATCTCCACTTCTCTAGAGTCCAGTGGTGGCGTGCTTTACACCACTGCATCCAACTCTGATTTGCACTTGTTGATGAAAGGCTTGGATGCAACTGCTCGGCCATGGAAACCCATTCCATGAAGCTCTCTACTCACTGTTGTTGTATTAATCTGAAGGCCACATGAAGTTTGGAGGACTTTAGCTATTGACTTTGCAGACTGTTGGCAACTGATGCGCACTGTGTGCTTCAGCATGCACTGACCCCACTCTGTCATTTTACGTGGCCTACCACTTCATGGCTGAATCCAATGATTTTGAGGGGTGTCCCAATACTTTTGGCCATATAGTGTATATAACATTTATCACAAAAATCCAGCAGGTCTTCAAGGTACTAGAGAACTGCTGAGTGAGCATTTTTTTACCTGTGAGACAGGCTGAGAAACAACTGTATATTATTGTGTTGTATCTGCACCAAAACATATTTAAGGGCTTATTTACAAGAAGGTGTTTAAGTTGCCAATGAAGTTGCACTCCATCCCTCTGAGGATGCTTTTACTATCCAAAAGTTGGACCTTGTCTGTATAATAGTGTAAATAGACTTTTACACACCTCAGTGTCTCCCCTGTTCTTGTGAGGGGATACAGTGCTCAGTGGACCAGACCTTATTTAGTTGGCAAGGATCTAGTCATCAATGCCACTGACATCTCTGTGCAATGGTCAGATTCAGCAGACCCCGCCAATAGCACTGGACAGAATAAGTGGGGATGTGCTAAACATGCTGCTTGAGCTTTAGGTGCCGCATGATCAAGCAAGTTGCTGCAAAATGTAGAGGAGTAGCAGTCTTGTAGCAGAAGTTCTACAAAAGGTGCTGGAAGCTGAGATGAAGCGTGATCAGAAAGAGCGGGGAACAGACTAACAGCCAACACCCACCATGTTCAGGTCTTGTCAGAGCTCCACACAGCTGCCAAGATTTATAAGTGACAGCTGCTACAGGGGAGTGCAACCTCATCACAGCATGCACTGGTTCCTCTCACATTTGAAGACTTCAGTATGCCATCCCACTGACTTTCTGTGTATCAGGTGCTGGTCCCTGAAGGAGCACATCCTGCTCTGTCCATCCACACCAATATAAAGCCCTGGGCTGCACTCTGAATGTATCAACCTAGTCTTTTTTTTCCATTGTAGTTTAAATATACCTGTGTCCAATATAACACCTTGATGTGAATAATATTATCAATGCTTGTTAAACCTTGGTTTAATTGGTATCCGCCTCTGAAGAAGTGCCTGCGCACAAAACACGTTAGGAGGAGCCAATGCGCTGTGACGTCACGCCGCTGGAGCCACATGGAGGCCCGGCGGCTATCCTGCTTTCTGGATGGTTAGTCCATGCTTTATTTGCTGCATACAATCAATTACTATGATGTTACTTGTTTTTATGGTATTTTATGAATTTGCAAATTCGATCTATTAATAAATTACTTGGATTTTACCTATTACATTATGGGCACTTTTTATGGTCTTATGAGCAATTAATTTATAGAGCCCACCTGATCCAGCCCACTGCAGTATCCAGAGAAGGGAGTTCCTGGCATACAGGCATCTACACCCATCCATACCTTAAAGGGACCTCTGGCTAACTGGATCCCTTATCTCCTGTGAGCTCTGACAGCACCACCTTTGCCAGAGGGAGGATTATCCTTGACCAGGATCATATCCGACTCCTAAAGGGGACCTATACTGATATATTTAATGCGTATATACATTACGCATCTGGTGAGTGCGTATTTCTACCATACTGTTTTGGAGCACCAGCATCGGATTTGTTGTCATTTATCAATGCTTGTTAAACCTTGTTTGCATGCATAGGTTTTAATTATATTTGTACATAGGATAAGCCAGATATGCTCATTACATATACAGTAGATATACTACTTTTGTGTTTTGCACTGTTATACTGTTTTTCCTTATAATAAATGCCTATTAGTCAGTTGACTAATTGAAAACAATGCACCAGGAAGATATTGTATCTCAATAGCTGTTAAAGTGGAACTTTAGTCAGAAAATTGAGTCCTACTAGACCACTTCAGGCCGGCTCTTTTTACAACAATTGACAGCACACACTAACTTTAGTAGCATAATTACTAATGTGGAATGTATGTTCCTTGCTAAAGAACATTATTGGTTGTTATGTGTAATGTCCCACTTTAAGAGTGAAGCCAGACTTGTAGAAAACTCATTCTGATGGCCGAAAAACAAA